GAGAGAGAGAGACCCCGCACGACAACTTGATCTGTACATGTACCTGGACCCCAGCTGCGACCACAGGTCCATGAGGGCTACCGGTAGTACAGTGGGGGAACTGGAAGAGTGGCAAAATTCAAAAACGTATTGAATTATCCCCGCGATTTATTCGAGGTCGAAATGATTTTTTTAATTTTTGTAAATATTTTTCCTGTATAGTCCGCGACCAAATCTATAGACCCTCAAATTTGCAGAGTTGTTGGGTTATCCTTCTGATAACAAAAAATCGCGAAAGTCTGGTTTCTTTTCTCGTTGGCCCAAACGTGGTAAAGTAGTAAAAATGGAAAATGTGACGAAACAGCGTGGCATTTACTTCACCGTTAATTTTGTTTTTTTTTTTCATTTTTCTGATATTTTTCCTGGAAAGATCACGACCTAATCTACAGTATATCAAATTTTCAGATTTTTTTGCCAATTTTTCTGAGCACGAAAAATCGTCAAAGTTCGCGCTTGAAAATGTTTGGCCTGGACCCGCCTGCGCCTGCCCGGTCGCCGCCCCCCCTAGGAAAGTCCATTTCAGGCCGGTGGGAGTCACACTGCGACGTTAGGGTTCTGACACACAGGCACATCATGACGGGCTAGCAGCCTGACGTGGGATACACTTCAAAAGACAACAGTCCCTAAAAACAAACAGGGACCCAGTCCACCTGAGCGGCAATTGGGTATTTCAAAATTTGTGCGTGGGTTCAAACCCCAACGCAACCGTTGTGGACAATCAAAATCTGAGCGGCAATTGGGTATTTCAACGGGTGGAGACTTTTCTTTTTTCCATTTTCCCGCCCGCCGGGAAACAAAAAGAAAAGAAAAAACAAAAAACAAGGGGGGGGGGGAAAGTGGATGCCGACCACGAAACAAAAAGAAAAACAAAAACGAAAAAAGTAAGAAACAACAGACCAAAAACGAAAATGCTATAAAAAAAAAGGTCAGGGCACGCCAGAAGGACACAAAACGACATGCCAGGGGCCAAGTCCAACTAGCGAAGAGTTACGCTTCGCGGCCAGGTTTTCGACGACGTGGGACGTTCTGTGACAGGTCTTAGTCGCCGATCGGCTGCAGATCCACGCCCAGCGTTGTTTGGCCTCAGTTTCGTGTAGGGTCGTTTCGTTCGGCTAATAAAATGATTTTAAATTATTTTGGTGTTGTTTTTGTTGGCCACTTTCGTTAGGCGGGAAGCTTCAATTCTATGGTTTTTTAACCCATTCGGCTAATAAAATGATTTTAAATTATTTTGGTGTTGTTTTTGTTGGCCACTTTCGTTAGGCGGGAAGCTTCAATTCTATGGTTTTTTAACCCATTCGGCTAATAAAATGATTTTAAATTATTTTGGTGTTGTTTTTGTTGGCCACTTTCGTTAGGCGGGAAGCTTCAATTCTATGGTTTTTTAACCCATGGGGTGTTTTTGAAGCTTCCCGCCCTCATTCTTTTGTTTTTTTTAATGTGCAGAAATACACAATATCATAATGGCCTGAGAGCAACTACCTTTAGAGGACCCAGCCCATTGGCTGAGTCGAACTTTCATCCAGAAAAAGGGGCGACGAATGCGATGGCTCACAGCCTACTGGCTGATGCGAGTACCCTCACCTGAATTTCACTTTCTCTAGCTCGTAGAAAGCAAGATTTTTAAATCCGAAAAAAATACAGAAACCATTTTTCAAATGCCAAAAGCGCGTCACACAACCCTGTTCCACCGTTTTAATCGATGCTAGTGGGACTTGGCCCCAGAAGGAGAAAAAAAAACCTAAAAGTAAAGAAGATAAATACACTAAAAGTAAAGAAGATAAATACACTAATAGTAAAGAAGATAAATACAAAGTTACAAAAAGAACACAAAATCAAAAAGAAAAAAAAGGGGCCGGGGCACGAAACGATACTTTCTTGCTATCCGACGGCGGGCGCGTTCAGATATGAATGCGCATCGACGCCCGCCGTGTACCCGGCCCGGTGGGCGCTCTCTCTCGTTTAGTGGCTCGCTGTGAACAATTCGGTACGTGCGCCACTCTGCACAACGCCCCTCCCTCGATCGCCTTCATCCGCCGGCCCGAATCAAAACTTCGGGCCGATTCTGGCGCGCAGCGGAACACGACCTCCCCCCCGCGGGCCCACCGCGCTTAAGGGGTAGGATTAGGGGTGGACCCCACAGCCTCGCGGCAAAGCAAAAAAGGAAGCCGCAAATACAGGCTCCCGTCCACCACGAACGGTCCACCGAAGGACGGCAGGACCCCATTGCGACCGCAAGGCCTGGCACTCCCGCCGCTTCCGTTTACTGAAAAAGGAATACCGGCCCTTGTTTTCCTGAACAGGAAAGTGAGAGGTGCCCTCACCCGTTCCGACGGAGGCCGGGTTCGTTCTTGCTGATGTCCGTTTCATGTCCACCCCGGCTGCCTCCGTTCGCGACGGAGGCCCAGCCTCGGACCTACCATGAACTTTTGGCAGATTATTGCGGAAATCGAAAGTGCCACGGAGGATTCCATCATCATTACGGCGAGTGGAAACGGAATCTGAAAGTCTTCCAGGCCACGCGCGACGGGATGTGGGGTCTCAAAAATACCTCCGCTTCAAAACCTACGCTTTTCCGCAAGCCTGTGGGGTCCAGACCTTAAGGTACGCCTTTAGTTCAACACCAGGGGCATGGTCCCACTAGGAAAGAGGATCGGATCGAATGCCTGAATCTGGACGAGATGATGGAGATGTGCAGGAAATCGAGATTGAACTGCTTTTCTGCATCTCTGCATAAAACACATCCAGATTCAAGATCTCAATCCTATCCTTTTTGCTAGTGGGACCTCGGCCCAGTGAGCGCACACAATCACACCACATGCATGTATGAGATCACACTGGAGGCCAGAGAGACGAAGACCAGGTAGCGCAGCTTTAGAATTCCAACAAATTTATCATATATTGGCATATAAACAATTAAGAGTTTCCGTCACAGGCGCTCAATAGCGCAATCGCAAGTATCCAGAATCTCCACTCAGGTATGACACTTCCCCGAAGCTCTTCTCTCTACTTCCTCTCTTGGTCTTCTCTCTATCTTCTACCTCCCTGTATCTCCCTATCTGCATGCACTCACGCTCTCTCTACTACTTAAGAATCAACTCTGAATACACCCACTGTCAACTCTACTGCCCCTCTGAAGACTACTACTAACTTCTAGCACTAACACCCTGCACTGGCGCAGCTATGGCTGCCTTCTCCCTGCCAGCGCTGTCCTACTTCTCTCTCTTTCTCTCAGCGCAGCACTCGGGCTTCAGCGCTCTGCCCCTCGCAACAGCGCACAAGTGCACCAGCACTTCCACACTTCATGCGAATGAGTTATCTGCCAAATGAGGAGGCTGGCCCGTCCTTTTGCAGTCTTGGATTGCACTTCAACTCGTGTCAGCCTCTGCTTCTTGGGGCTTCACTGGGTTCCGGTACCACATCCCCACGGCCTGTCTGCTTCCGAATGTCAAGGCCTAGAACCTTCCCGAATTTCCATTGGTCTGCTTCTTGGGGCTTCACTTGGGCCTTTGAGTCATGACTTTTCGATTTTGGCATGTGATTTTGACTGACTGTGACTCCTGCCTCTGGGACAAGACTCTTGCCTGTGGAACTGACCTTCTACTCGTCGGATGTGACTCTTGAATACGACTTTTCATCATAAAACGTGATTTTTGCCCCTTAGATGTGACTGTTTGCTGGGTAACTCAGCCTTTCTTGGCCAGGGCCTCTGACCCTGAGACCCAAATTTGGGGTCTGAATTGTGGAAGGCCTTTCACTCTCGCTGGCCTAATTTCGAGGTCCGCCGAGAAAATTACCAATTTTATCTGTCTATTATGGTAACTCCTCTCTTAGCTCTTTCATAATAGGACACAACAATATACGCGGATCTTGTCCATGATTGATATTTTTTGAAGTCAGTTTGTCGAATTTCGTCGACTACCGGTCGTGCAAGGACCACAGAAGGTCCCAGCGAGAAAAGAAGGGAACCAAAGGTCCCAGCGAGAAAAGAAGGGAACCAAAAAAAAAAAAAAAAACTATGTTATGCAGAAAGAAGGGAAAAAAAAAATTAAAAAAAATAAATAAAAAAACTATATGCAGAAAAATAAATTGAACAACTTTTGCCTCAGGGTCACATATAAATTCTTTACGAAATTTAAAATAAAAAATAATAATAAAGAAAATAATATACAGATATAGTTTTTCATCTTTTTTTGGCCCAGGCGGGGAAAGTGGTCCCGGTAGCCTAGAAAAGATTCTTGGACGTGGTTAACCAGAGTGCTGTCACCTGCTTTTACCTGCTTCCCTCTCTTCTCCTCATATCTTGTTTCAGCATAGTTTACTTCCACTGGCTCAAGCTTGACACTAATCTGCATGTTCATACACCCATAACCGGAGAATCAGAGTAGTTCTGCACCTCCTCATGTTATATGCATTGAAAAGTTGAAAACCACCACCCAAAGCAAGTATCGAACACTCGCGTGAATATGAATTTATGAAAAAGTGGGCAAAAAAAAGAAGGGACATGGCTACGACGAAGGCAAGCTGACAGTCAGGGGCATATTCACACTCACACTTTCCTAAATGCATCGGACTGCAATTACGGATAGAGCAGGCAGGATGACTCTGGCCGCGATGAGGTCCAGAGCTTAGTAGAAAAAGTCCCGAGTGTGAGTACTCCCTCAATCCTCCACTTAAGGAGCAATCAATGGATTCAATACTGATTAGCGTTCCTTCGGCCAGACAGAAGGAAGTGCGAGACTGTGAGTGAGTGGACTTGAAATTTTTTTGACTTGCGGCCCGTGGAATAGAAACCGGACTGACTCTCCCCAGAACGGATATGGAGCCAGGTTCATAATAAGGACCTGATTTAAAAAAAAAAAAAAAAAAAAAGAAGTTGACAGGGTGTCCTTCACAAAATTTTGTTAGAATTGGAACGATACACAGAATGAAGATTAGCATGGCCCCTTCGCAAGTAAGGATGACACCGCACAAATCGAGAAATGGTCCAATTTTTTTTTCGAAAAAGGAAGTGGACAGGGACGGAGAACAAAAACGAACATAGCCAACTAAATTCATCAATGACGTTTTCCTACGACTTGACTACTACCTGTGACGCTCATTTTGAGTGAAAGAATGAAGAGGACAACCTGGTGGGCTTGCCAATGAAAGACATTTCATCCAGCCCACCCGCTCAACCCCCAACACTTTTTTTTTTAATAAAACACCCACCAAGTTTGCTAGGAGTGATGGATGGTATGCACCCCAATTCTCGACCTGCCCAATTCTCACTCGAAATAGTGTTTTGCTCCCTCTGTCCACTGTGATACACTTTTCTTTATTTTCCCTCGCTCCCTCTGCCTGCTGCTCATACATCCATAATTGCTCCGATCAGAGTCTACCTGCATTGCATGATCCCCTGTTCTGTCTTCTCCCATCTTTTTCTTCCTCCCTCCTATATTGGATCACTGTGTTCACATTCACATTCACATTCCCTTTTTTTCTATCTCCATTGCGTCTATGATGCAGCACCTCCGCCGTCTAAACCCATTCATTCTCCGCCCTCTCATCCCTCGCTTGGTCTCAAGTAAAAGAGCGCACTTCTTCTTTTTTTTTTTTTTTTTTTTTTTTTTTTAACAGAAGGGCCCAGTGCCCAAGGCTGATATTACAGATAAAAGAGCGCACTTCGCAAAACAAGCCATAAAATTACAGAGGACAGACAAACATGAAGGGCACACTGAAGCCGATCTCTCGACGTTTCTTCTTTTACCTCCCTTTTTATTGTGCCTCTCACGTACAAGGCTCGCCACATTGATGGCGTTGAGATTGAGCTGCCATAGCCCCCGT